GAATTAGTGTTATTAACAATAATAATGTTGATATTTAATTGGTGGATGGTGACTAGCAGTGAATCCAGGATAATGTGCATTTCGTCCTGTTTGAGACTCGCCAGCTGGATGTACCTGCATTTCTAAGTGAGTGATGATGTTCTTGTCGAGGCTCGAACCCAGTGCCCATAGTTTCAAACTCTGAAGCGTTATCCACTAGACCATTTGGGCCACGAGAGCCACCTCTTGTGAAACGGGTCATATTAATTTCATTGAATTTGAGATTTTCCCGTCAATTGATTGGACCGAAGTGCTGTTTGTTTAAATAAAATCGAATCGATAATGATAAAATAGATTACAGCTCAAAAGCATCAACATAACAATAAACTGAATATAGCAAAAATATTCATTCAGACATCTATAAAACACAAAATAATTGAGCAAAGAATATTCTTTTCTATAAATTCCTCTTCAGGATTGGTAGAAGAGGAATTTATCGAAAAGAATAAACTGAATGTCAGAAAAATTAGGAAAGATAATATTGCAAATTCATGAATTTATGGTCTCCGCTGAAGGCCAACCAGGGCAGTACTAGTGACTAGCTGGACTGCTTCTTTTGAACATAGAGGACTGGTTGTTTGAGGAGAATTGCAATAGCCTCTAATGTTTTGAGCATGCGGTGTTTCGATGTTTTTGGCAATTTATTTGGCACCCGGTAGATCATAGAGAAAGATTCTTCCACGTTGGCTGGCTTTGTGGCCGGTCGGTTTGCACCAGATGGTCCAATATCGAACTGTTGACGATGGTTATCACTACACCTTTATTTAGCCATAGTGGAAGATGTCCTCGAATGAGCATGAAAAATCAAGTTCCTAGAGCAACGGTCGATATAACTCGCTCTATCACAATCGGAGTGTTGCATTGGTGGATACAATTTAAAGTGGCTAGTCTAGTCTAGGTAGTTCATCTTTCAATTGAGGTATTCTTTCCAGTTGTACCTCTTATAGCGTAATAAATACCTTAATGCCTATCATTTGTCAACAATTTGAATACGAGACACTTTAATAAATGTTTTGTTAGATGAATAATTATTCGAAAGAATTTATAAAGTATATCAGTTTCATGTAACAACACAAAGACAATCGGCATTGAATGATGCTCATTTTGAAACACTTAATAAAAAGCTTGAACACTAGTGTTATCAGTGACCAGCTAAATATCGTGTCAACTAGTTACTAATATTATCTGGCCGGGCAGACAGAAGGAGATGATGTGATCTCTAGCTTTTGGTTTCTTTAATTCATGATCGACACGCTCTCTAGGAAGTTTCTGTAACACTGTGTGTTTTGTTTACACGGGGTGCAGTTGTTAGCCTTCTGGTAAATCTTCCTTTTTCTTAGACTTGGTATTTCTTATTAAACTAGTTGAAGTTAAGAAATGTGTGTCGACCAAGACTCGAAACCCGGACCATATGCATGGTTGGTAGGCATTCCTCCCTTATTAAATAAGTCTGATTTAAATATGACACATTGATGATGCAGTATTAACAACTGCATGACAAGGTTTCGAGTATAAATGATTACTGTTCATAATTGTATCAATTTAGCCACACATTTTCACAGTTTATGTCATTTATGTTTTCTCTATTTCTCTCTCTGTCTCCACCTTCGCCTTGTTGTTTGTTGCCACTTTCCACATCTCTGGTATAAGTGGCGTTGCGTGATTGAGATTGCACATGTTGTGCTGTGTTGAATCGATAAACAGAGCTTCAGTGATTAACCTCTGTCTCTCTCTCTCTCTCACTGTCTCCACCTAACTATATTACTTTTTATTACTTTCACCCTGTCCCAAACAACCTAATGTGTGATTACATGCAAGTGAATGCAGCACAATGGCTGAGTATTTCCCTTGATTATTTAACTTAGCAGGGTCAATCATTCTGGGTTTAGCTAGAATTCTGTTTTCCGATAATCCAGTTGACCCTAATCTACTAGTTTGACTTATCTATGTGGTTGACCTCATAGTCATTACATGTCATCTGATAAATTATATTATTTTTCTTAATTGGATTTATTGGGACCTCAAGTCGACAAAGTTTATCTCTGAGGGAGCTGGTCGGTTGGTTGGTTTAAATACCACACTAATTCTAGCCTCATTGAGAATCCCAATAAGGCCTCTGATGTTCCTTCGCCATACGGCAGTAATAGAGAGGTATTTTGATTGGACACTAGTGACTAGTGCAACCTGTCTAGTCCTTTTTTTGATGCAGACTGATTTCTGCCACTCAGTCAGTCAGTCAAGTTTGCAATGTGGCCACCATTCCACTAGGTAGCTCGCCGTCACGGTGCACATTGATTTGATAATATTAGATAGTTGGAGGGAATCGGCCACTGGAAGCCTTGCTTGATCTAGGTTTTGTGGTAGTTGGTAATCAGCAGTCGTTATCAAGGCGTATCTGCAGTCACCTTGAAGGAACTCATGTCCCTTCGGAGATTCGAACCCTCGTCACCCAGTTCTGGCTGCAGTCAGAAACCTCACAATTGTGCTATTGAGTTCGAGATTGACCTCTTGTAGGACTGTAGTGGATATTTTGATTGGACACTAGTAACTAGCTGGATGTGTCTAGTCATTTATTTTGGTGCAAACTGAATTCTATCAGTCAGGCTTTGAATTCATATTATTTTCGTCATTTCTTTTACTAATCTTATTTTTTTTCTATGGTTCTTCATATGTTTCTAAATAAATTTTGGTGGGTAGTGTGTTATTCACTAGTAATATTTTCTTTATTTGTTTGATTTCGTTATTTAAATTTTCTGGTCCACTAGTTAGGCTGTTGACCTGAATATACAGACATTTAACTAAACCGATTCTGGATAGGATGAATTAAAGTCTAAGTACTTATTAGAGTGCTTGCCAGTTCTCCTACTTAACCACATATCCAAAGAGTTCAGACAATCTGAATTATGACTGATCAGTGCAAAGGGTTAAAGTTATTTACACCTTTCAAGTATCGGTTTCGGTGGGGATTTTGTTTCATTGGTTGGAGGATTTCATCATCATGAGCTGACATCACTTACAGATCCATTGGAAAACTAACCACAGGGAGCGCTACACAGTCTACTGTTACGTCAATCCCGGTTCGGGACTCTTCATCAGTACGCACCTACCACAAGGGGTTCGAAACTAGGAGCTCCTGGTTGTAAGGACAGCGAGCTAGTAGACCATTAAGCCGCCCGCTGGGACTCCATCCAATTGTTTTAGAACAAATCACAGTTAGAATAATGATTAGATCATATTTTATTGATTTTTTTAATTTGGGAATATTCAGTACACTCACAACCTAGTTGATAATTGCATTTCATTTATTTGTCACAAAAAATTGTTGAACTACGGAACTGACAATGTGTCTAAGGGATTTCTCATAGAAGCACTTATGATACATGTCACATTTTGAAAAAAATTTAACAGGGAACGTTATTGAAAAAGTTTATTTTCATAAAAGGTATATAGATGGGGTAACAGTCATTTGTGATAAACCAACAGATGGCGAAGAAATCCTTCACAGGAAAGGATACAGTACAAAAGAGTATATCGTTACTATCACTTACCAACTTTTAGATGTACTCATAATCCGCCGACAAGATGGGCCAATAATATGATCTGCCTATAGAAGACTTAAGTAGACAGGACAGTATCTAAATTGGCATAGTTTCTGTCCACAACATTATAAGAAAGCGTTAGTTAAGTGCTGTTTAGATGCATTCTGTACATGTTTGCAGAGGTCACTGTTGAAGAAGAAACACAAAACTTCACTAAAATATTTTTAGATAATAAATATTCGCTGAAATTCACTAGGCGTTACAGAAGTATCAAGTGAAGGGCTCCACCGATTCAATCAGCTCACAAAAGGGTGTTTATATATATATATATATATATATATTCCTACGTTTCAAGGACGACCAATAGAGTCTGACCATTAAAACAGACTCAAGGTGGTAAATGTTAGAACTTAATATTCATCCAAACTTATTTCCATAGTGAAAACGAGATCTATGCCGTCCTATAAGCTTCCAAAAAATTCGAACGATAGTTTAACATCCCGCTGTGTTGACCAATTAACAAGTCTTTTTGGCCACACCTACATAAGAAGGATCCACCGGTCTCTGCAGATTGAGGCCACTCAACACATCCTAAAAGTGGCTGCAACAACAAATAAAATTAATGGATACAATTAATCTTGGAAATAGACATCGAACATCATCTATGGAGGAGCACATCATAGACTATCAAGCAGGTCAGATGTGAGGAAAAATACTCACTGTTGAAATTCATTAGTGGCCGCACCATATCATGAATTGGAAGAAGTTTTAACTGATTGATTGGCCATTGGACCTGGTCCCAGTGGCTGCTTAATGGCCTATGAACTCGTTGGCCTTGTAACCAGAAGATCTTAGATTTGAACCTCAATGGGGGGATTCTGTTGAAGAGTCACAAACTAAGGTTGACGAGACAGCTGGCTGTCCAGTACTCCCTGTGGTTAGTTTTCCAATGGTTCTCTAACTGATATCAGTTCACGATGAAATCCTCAAATCAATCAAATCCCCGCAAACCAACAATTGAGATTCATATTCTGTTGCCTCATATATAAGTGTGTATGACAAGGACGTGTGTGTATGTGTGTGGTCAGAATGTCTGAAATGTGTTGCACAAATAAATTACACGTTTGACATAAACTATGTCTTTTGTTATTCCATCGAAATTCACAGATGAATTAATTTCAGCCTAAATCGCTGAATGGTTAACAAGCTTAGTCTCCTTGTTTCTATCCATAGTGGTGTCGTGGGGATGCACTGATGAAGAGTCCATAAATAGGACGAAACATACGTTCACTTCTCCCTAGTTTCTAATGACCTTTTTAAATGATGTTAGTTTTTCATAAAAATCTAATCAATTTTAAAATTTCAGTTGATTTTCTTACAATATGATTTTTTATTTTTATTTATACACATTTCTTTTTTCAGGGTTGTGTTTCTGCCCTTGGTGAACTGTTTAGGAAGTATATGATTCTGATTGTAATCTTTTCATTTGCATTTGCTGGATTCCAAATTCTCTGCTTTATGTTTACAGTTTGTTTATGTAATGCAATTAGACATAGTAGATGAGATTGACAAACTTTGATAGATTCGAATGATATCTATTCATTCACTCTTTATTTTTTACATTCAGGATATTCTCAAAATTATTTCTCTTTCCCATTCAAATATTTACTTACTTACTTACTTCTGTTTTGATGCGTTTATATATATATATATATATATATATATTTTCTTTCTGTCATTATCTTTGTCTTCAAATTTACCGCCATTCATTTCGACTGTTCAATGTTTCAATAATGTTTGAAGGAAAGAAAAGAATTTGAAATTTACTGGTTTAAACAAAAGCTAAACGAATGAATGAGATGGTTTAATTCGTTATCTTTTCATATATGGATTTGCTCGACTGTTAAATTTATAGTCTTGCATTTATTTTTATCTAGTATATACATACATATATACTATGAGTTATTCTGAATGACCTTTTTCTCTAACATTTCTGAATTTCATACTTTTATAATATTAACAATTGGATGTATAAAGAAAAGTGTTGATTTCCTTCATTATTAAAAAAACTTTTTAATGGGAAATATAAAGCTTACGATGAATTTAAGTGATTATCATAAGGGAAAGGTTATTCAATATAAATGCTATTCTGTTACTATTATTATCATTATTATTATTCCCTTGGTTGTCCAGTGGATCGTAGGGCTTTGACAGGATATTTCTACGAGTTTTTCAGGGATTGATATCAGTTAAAGAACCATTGATGATTCCCGAACTAGGCTGATGAAACAGCTCTCCAGTACGCCAGTGCTGATTTTCAATGGTTCCCTAACTGATATCTATCCGTGATAAACTCGAAGAAAGCAAATCTAATCCTTACAAACCAAACTATAGAAAATTTTTCTGATGCTCGCTAGTGACTTGCCACAGGATGGAGGTTCATGAGTTCTAGTGAGAAGCCATGACTAGTGAGGTCCAGCCAGTCAAGTGTGAGGCTGGATGTCCCACAGACGACATCGGTTGGGGTCGCAATAAGCACGAGTTGTTAGAAGTTAGAATTCATTGGCTGACCGTTAAGAAGTGTGGTTCCAGTGGCTGAATGGTATACTAGCCAGCTTGGCTTGTAACCGGAAGGTTCTGGGTTCGAACTCTGGTTCTTTGGTGGGTGCGTATTGCCTATGATTCCCAAACTAGGCTGATGGAACAGCTGACTGTCCAGTACTTCCTGTGAGCTGGTTTTCAATGGTTCTCTGTTTGATATCAATCCGTGATCAACTCGTAAAAATATAACTAACCATTACAAACCAAACTATAGAGAAGATATTTCTATTTTGAAGTAAATTGGTGAATGGTGATTAGCAGTAGAATCCAGCATGTGCATATTTCGTCCTATTTGGGATTCGTCAGCTACTGGATATACCTGCATTCCTCATTCAGTGAGTGACGGTGTTCCCACTGAGGCTAGAATCCAGTACCCATAGTCTCAAACACTGAGACTTTATCCCATAGAGCACTTCAGCCACCTTTTCGGCAACGGGTATTACTGAATATTTAATTTAGTTTTGATTTAGATATGATAGAGAAGATTTGTAGCTCAGGTGGATGATTTTGATGTGGTTTTGTTCTCTGAGCTGGATGGTTAGTTTGCGAAGCTTTCATCACCCTACTGGGTGACATCTTCAGCGCATACTTCAATTTGAAGTGAGCTTTTAGATTTCTCCACGAGTTTATTAATCATTCCTCCTGATGACCTTGGACGTGATTGGTTGTTTATGTGTGTCAAAGAAACAATCAGTTCCAATACAAGTAACCTAGAAGATGTGAAAACACACATAAACAACCAATCACGTCCAAGGTCATCAGGAGGAATGATTAATAAACTCGTGGAGAAATCTAAAAGCTCACTTCAAATTGAAGTATGCGCTGAAGATGTCATCCAGTAGGGTGATGAAAGCTTCGCAAACTAACCATCCAGCTCAGAGAACAAAACCACATCAAAATTAGTTTTGATTTTTCCCACCGACTGATTGGACTGAAGTGTTTGACCTCAGATGTGAACATGTTGGCTCCTTGTGCAGATGTTTCAGCGATGTCTGATTATTTAACTTGAAATAAATTGATAGGTGTTGACTAGTGGTGGAATGCAGGATGTGCATTTCATCCTGAGGAATTCGGATACATCCCATATAGGGTGAAATGAGCATTCTGTATTTTACTGCCGGTTCCCACCTACCAATTTACTTGAAGTTACATAATCAGACATTGTCGAAGCATCTGCACTGGGAGCCAACATGTCCACATCTGAAGTCAAACACTTCGGTTCAGTCAATCTAAGCGAAAGTGTACACTGAACTAAATAACATCTCTGAAGTTCTATTTAGTTGGCTACAAGACTGTTGTCAATGTCCAGGTCTTACTACACTGGACCTCACACTGTCCTTGGAAGACTTTCAGCAACAATTTGTTATAACCAACGCGAAAAACCAGAACACAGATTGGCGACTCGAGAATCCTTTATTCTTGCGCCAATATGTAACCAACAATAAGGTTATACACAAGGTCTAAGAATAAATGTTATAACAATAAATCAGAATAATACTTCTGATAGTTTTGTGTCTTCCACTGAACAACGAACGATGAGACGATGACTGCTGGATTGATAACTCCCGCGAAAAATATGGAGGAGTTGGGTTTGATCAAACAACCATGAATTGATCTTTCAGTCTTCAACTACATTGACAACTGTCCTACGATTTCTTGTATGTCACTTTCGGACACATGCATAACTCATCGTTTTCCATTCAGGTTCCACTCATGAGACTCGATGATCTCCTCAGTGTGTGTGTGTGTGCATGCGTCCATCCGATCCTTCTCCACTTTCTTCAGCATATTTAATGGGCAATTGGTTTTTAGTTAGTTACATCCCAGATTTCCTTTGCTACTCACTCATTCCTTGAGTTCTGAGGATAACATTTACCTTCAAAGGTAAATCAATATGTCACCATATAGTTGTCTGACACTTTGGCTCTCTATATGCGTTTATTTCCCCATCTTATGATCCCTTCAATTTCATTGTCAGATCCACATCCAGCCTGTCGTCTCGTATCTTCCTTACACTTCAGGATCTATCTGGATTCGGATATCACTGGAATTCACTTTTTTCTACTTATTATTTTTGAGCAATAGGTTGTCAGTTGGTTCGATCCCTCGCCAGAGTTCCTTGCTATTTATTCTTTCTAACAGGTTATCTGATATTCAATATCGAATGCAGATAGACGTCAATGAAAGTCATCAACAGGCTGTATAAAATGGTTCTGGTGACGTGTACACGAAGTCTTTGAACTACCGTATAGTACCAATGACCTGGCATTGTTACTGAAAATACTTGTTTTAAAGAAATGGTTTGTAAGGATTAGATTAGTTTTTACGAATTTGATAGCGGATTGATATCAGTTAGAGAATAATTGTAAACTAGCCTACAGGGAGTACTGGGCAGCTGTTTCATCTGCCTAGTTTGGGAATCATCGCCAGTACGCACCCACCACAAAGGATTCGAACCCAGGACCTTCTGGTTACAAGGTGAGCCGGTTTGTAAACTATTCAGCCATTGAGACCCTATTCAATTGCCCATGGCCAATGATTCACAAACTAGGCTGATGGAACAGCTGGCTGTCCAGTACTCCCTGTGAGCTGGTTTTCAATGGTTCTCTGACTGATATCAATCCGTGGTGTGTTTGTGTGTGGATTTCTACGCTGATTTCAGAGTAATAAACACCCATGGTAATGGGAAATGTCTTCGATAATTCAGACTGAAGTAAAGTATGTGTGGCAGGATGATTGGAATCAGTGACCTGAAAGTAATCAGCCAAACAGATTACTAACTAAATTTTGAAATATTCCATTTTTAATATTAGAACAAGACATATAAGCGAACAATATTGTTTTCAATTAGATCTTCTTTAGGCTTTACTCTAATTTACATGGAATTATATATATAATGTTAACCAATGACGGTGATTTTGTGGATCAAATCATCATAATAATAATATGGTAAATGTTTTGAAATTTTCATATATAAATCTATACAAATTAGAGTAAAACCTGAAGAAGATCTAATTGAAAATAATATTGTTCGCTTACATGTCTTGTTATAAATTTTGAAACTTTATTAAGTTTCACAAGTTATCTAAAATTTGACGCGTTTTGAGTAATCCGGAGGCCACTGTTCTACTTCACGTCTAATACATGAAATGAGACTCAAGATTACTTACAGAGCTTAAAACGTTAAATGATACGGATGAAGATCTAAGAGTGAAAATCAATAAGTTAGTAGGTAGAGAGAGAGCAGCGAAGATAAGACTGAAAGTGAACACAGAGAATAGATAGATGTGATGAACATAACCAATAAACAACAACAATGACAGTCATCGACCACTACAAATGGAAGAACTTTGGAAGAAATCACTTCGATCACTTATTTAGGTGGGACAATTTCAATTACTGCTGATAGCATGGATGAGGAGAATTTTAAGGCTGTCAGAACTGAGAAAACTGGACAAAATTTCGTCACTCTTAAGCCAGTTTGGAAATCGCCTGCACTCCACAGCATAAGGAACAATATTCGAATTTTAAACACCAATGTTAAATCAACCAGTTCTCCTATATTGGTTCAGGGAATTGATGCCCTACTGGCTACTACAGACTTCTATCAACAGCTGCCCACTTCGCTGGCTTCACACTGAAGATCAGATATTAGTATTGTTATTGTTCCCTTGGGTTCCTAGTGGAACATAGGGACTCAACTGCACGTCTCCACTTGCATCTGTCTTTTGCTGTACTTTTCACCTGCATCCATGTTAGTCCATAATGATTGTTTCAACTCCTCTTCACACCATCTCCTCCATGTCACCCTTGCACTGACGTCCAACTAGCCGCTTCCCTTTCGGGTTCCACTCGAGCAATGGCCTGACGCACGCGCGATGTCACCCAGCGGCCTCCTCAACGAGCGTCCATCCAATCCATATCTACTTTCTCCTGCATATTTGTTAGTTGGCGATTGGTTA